CTATTTTTATAGACTTTCGATTGACTTGTTTCTACATTACAATGACTATAGTTATAAAAAGAAAGTAGTACAAGAAGAACACGAATAAAAATAGATTGAGGTTTGTGTGATTGTCAAATTTGTATATAGTATAATAGTTATATACATATATACTTATATTCTAATATCAACACAAGATGAGATGGTGATTTCTGAATACAAATATATTTGGATACATAGGTAATCTATTGAATTTGAAAGGTTAATTAGGCAATATAAGTATAATGGATACTTTAGTACTATTTTTGATTTAAAAAATACATGAATCAACACCAAGCCTCAAGTATTATAAGAAAAACTTGATCAAAAAGAAATTGACGTTTGTTGATTTATTTTTTTATACAACCGAATAGTTGCACACTTTTGCTACCTATACATTCTATTATTTCAATTTTTTTTTGCTTCTGTATTGTCAAATATATTCATCTTTTGTTTAACAACAATGTATTCATATGTACACTATATTAGTGTATTCATTTTTTCTTTAACAACAATGTATTCTTTTTTCAAATCATCGTGTTCATATGCTAAATTGTTATACATTATCTTGTTTAATATATTAATACATTAAGTTTTTACAAGTACTTCTATCTTTGATATATTAACTCTTTAAATTTTATCTATAAAGATACTAATTTAAATTTGTACAATTAATACAGTTTCCTTATTTAGTTCATTGTAATTAAAATGGAAAAATTGTATATAATAGCAAACTAATAACCTAAATAAATGGAGTAGCTAGGGTTCGATTTAATTGTGCTCCATAGCAAACGTTAACAAAAATTTGTCAGGCGTCTCTCTCCCAAAAGTCTCGCTCGCCACTCCCCCATTCTCGCCTCTCTCGCTTTATACACAAAAGTGTATAATTTCTGTTTATGTTTTGTATAAAGCGAGAGAAAATTGTATATACACATGCAAAAACATATATCTTCGTGTTATATATTTAATTATACAATTTACAAACGTTTCACTTCAAATATTGCAGAGAAAAAGGCCAACGAATTATACAATTGCGAATTATACAATTGCAGTGAAATACAATTTTCTCTAGCTTCATACAACAGAATTGTATATATTGTGTTTCTGTTTTTGTATAAAGCGAGAAAAACATATATCTTCTTGCTATACACTTATAATTATGCAATATACATACATTTTAATTCGATTCAACTGTATGCAAAACAAATTATACAATTGTTGCGAAATAGGCTAGCGAATTATACAATTTAGGCCAGCGAATTATACAATTGTATATGTATAGCGAATTATACAGTTTTATGTTTGCTATGGAGTGCAATTATGCAAATTTTGCTATAGCATACAAATATGAATTTTTTGTTTGCTATATGTGAAAGTTGCCCAATTAAAATTGTATCAATGTATAAAGAGAAAAATAAAAATTAATATAGCTAGAAAAAGAGTTAAGAGTTAAACTGTAGTCATTTTTTATAAATACCATACTTATAGCTATTGAACTTTAATAACCCTATAAATATAGTCATTTTTGTAAGTTGCTCTTATTTGAAATTTGTATGTTTATTGAAGAACTTTTATATATAGTCACTCAAAAGTAGCCTATTTATTCTCCATAGCTATAGTTTGATAACTAAAATTCATAACTACATGTTATAGGGAGGAGAGAGGCGAGCGAGACGGGAGAAAAAGGAGAGACGCTAGTGAGAGAGGGCAAAGAGTGGGAGAGAAGTTAACTATAATTGTATATTATACATATGTATTTGTATATATGGCAAGCTAGATTTTGGGAGAGGTAGGAGAGAGGCAATCGAGATTGGGAGAGGGAGGCGAGAGGCGACCAAGATTGGGATAGGGAGGCGAGAGGTGAGCGAGATTGGGCAGAGAGTGGGAGAGAGTGAATTATATATGTATATTGGTCAAATAATTGTATATTACGCATTTGTATATATGGCTAGCGAGATTGTGAGAGGGAGGAAAGAGGCGAGTGAGATTGGGCAGAGAGTGGGAGAGAGTGAATTATATGTTTATATCGGTCAAATAATTGTATATTGCGCATTTGTATATATGACAAGCGAGATTGGGAGAGGGAGGAGAGAGGCGATCGATATTGGGAGAGAGAGGAGAGAAGCGATCGATATTGGGAGAGGGAGGAGATAGGCGAGCGAGAGAGGACAAGAGAGAGAGAGCCGAATTGTGTATGCATACCGATTAAATAATTGTATATTACACATATTAAGTGAATTTCATATTTTTTTAATGGAATGAAGAAGAAGCACCGTATAATAGATTTTTTCTCTTTTTTAATTGGATAAAGAAGTGGTTGTGTGATTTTTTTTAATAAAGAGCACAAGGGAATAAGCAGGCAGCAAAAAGCGTGCGTGTTGTCTGTCTGATGCCTGCTATTCCCCTTTCTTATATAGTAAAACACCTGGAGAAGAAAGGGCAAAGAAGAAGGAAATACACAATAAAAATGTATTTAGCTAGTTTAATTACACAAGTAAAATTTTTAAAAAAATAGTATTACATATACGTTTTACCTCCTATTTCGAATTTAAGGCAAGGAAATACTCAACACGATTCATAAGTACTATTTATTATTCAGATCTATTAACAAAAATGTAAACAATGGGCTTGATACATGGATTTACCAGACCTAAAAGAAAAATAATGAAATGACCAAGTCAAATGAAACTTGCATCCTTAAGATTTTACAACTCATTTGGGAAAAACGAGGCTTGAGGTTTCCTCAATTAGCAGATAAACTATACATAATCAAGGAGACTTGCATATAATTAATCACAACAGATCCCTTAAAACATGCTATCATTAAGTAAAAATATAGAAACAAATCATGCCAATAGCTAGTAATATTATTAGAATAACTCTCCAACCTGCAAGGTTAAGGATGCTTCCTATACAAGTGTTTTGAGTTTATATTAAGTTCTATGTGCAATAACAATAATAATTATTCAATCAAATTACTTATATAAATATATATATACACATATGTATAAGCATAATAATAACTTGATTTAAAAATACAGTTAACTAATATAGATCGAGTTGATTGAACAAGTGATTTTTCAAATAGACAGTGTCAAATTTGAAACCCCCATATGTACAGTCTAGTATACATTGTTGTCCTGCTAACAATAATAGTATAGAGACCATTTACCAAAACATGTCAGTTTATCTAATGCCCATTCTATAAACAGAAAAAAACTGTCCTCTTTTTTCTCTCCTTCGTTTGGTAGGCATTTTTTTTCTATACTTGTCACATTTCACTAATATCAATATTTTCGTAATAACACTATCTATTAAAATTCGACCAAACAAAATAGGAGTACTTAATTACTTTAAAATTTGAATCTTGATTTTTGATTAATATTCTGACAAGTTAATATTAAATAAGTAAAAATAAATAAATATGATATTAATTTCGTCATTAATTCACACTCTACTTGTCCTAACTCGACCAAGTTGCCCTGAATTTTAGTGTTGAATATGGTAAGTCAACTTGTTGTAGCCCATATTGTTCGAATAAAATTAAAAATTAAAATTGAAACCCCATGCATTAAATAGGACCATAATACTTTGCGTTAGCCTTTGTACTCTCTTTAACTCACATAATGGGAACTTACCAGCCAGAATCTCTCGCCGGAGCTATGAACTCCGATGATGTTTCACCGATTGAAGAAGTCCGTTTAACGGTGACCAACACCGATGACCCGACCCTACCCGTATGGACATTTAGAATGTGGTTTTTAGGCCTTTTCTCTTGTTGTTTACTCTCTTTTCTCAACCAATTTTTCTCTTATCGAACAGAGCCGTTAGTTATAACACAAATCACAGTCCAAGTGGCTACTCTTCCCATCGGTCATTTCTTAGCTACGATTCTCCCGGCCACGAAGTTCCGGTTACCGGGCTTCGGGCCAAGATTGTTTTCGCTAAATCCGGGCCCGTTTAATATGAAGGAACATGTTCTCATTTCTATATTTGCTAATGCTGGAAGCGCTTTTGGGAACGGTTCAGCTTATGCCGTTGGAATAGTGACTATTATCAAAGCTTTTTACCGCAGGAATATTTCATTTTTGGCTGGTTGGATTCTTATTATTACCACTCAGGTAAAAACAAAGCTTCATCTTCATCTTCTCTACATTTTTACGTAATGCGCATAAAAAATTGTACTACTAAACATGCAAGTTAAATGCGAGTATCATTTGCTAATGTAAATTCCTTTTTTTATACAACAAACTTTTTGTCGTTTTTTTTTATAAGTTTCGTTTTATGATCTCATTGAAGTGATGCGAGAAAGAAGATGCTTGAATATCGTTTTGCGATTTTTTAATTATTTTTTTTAATGCTTCCATAAACAATTTTGCAACTTCGTTTAATTTTTTTTACTTCTTTTCCATATTAAAAAGTAGAGAGTCTAGAGATATCATACCTTTAGGGCTCTAATTAAACCACTATTCCGAAAATTTCTTCAAATACCAAAATATCAAAATTTTCATTGTTTTTTAATACAATCATTGGTCGTACGATATGTTGCAAATAATACATTAATTAACGTTGGATGTACTCGAAGGGAAATAGGGATACATCCAAAAGGAAATTTTGTCATTTTAAAAAAAATTATAATATTTTAAATTATGTATTTATATAATTTTTTCTATTAAGGTTCGCATATCGAATAGGAAGTGGAGCCATTTACATGCACTAAATAAGTGGATAAAACTTAAAAGAGTGAATGAAATTGGCATAAATAACTGCAGAGTAAAGAAATAGTCAATAAACATACATCTTTTATACAAAATATTGCAGGTGTATGTATTTGACTAATTTGAATACAATTTATAATTATTTTTGTATGTAATACAGGTTTTGGGATATGGATGGGCTGGGCTTTTAAGGAAGTACGTAGTGGAGCCCGCCCATATGTGGTGGCCTGCTACTTTGGTTCAGGTCTCACTTTTCCGGTAATCCCTCAAATTTCTTATAATTCGTTTTATTTTACCATTATTTTATATATATAACGTACACCTCGATTATTTTTTTTACATATTTTGTAAACTAATTGACCAAAATATTTTATAGGAGTAATAAATAATTCTCTACGAATTAATAACTCAATTCAAAATTTCTTAGATCTGTCCAAATTTAAATGGTTTATCTAGTACTCATAATAGGAAAAAGATAGATTTGCAGTCCTTTGTCTTACCATTTGGCCATAACTCCAAAATGCTATAAATACAAAATAGATTGAAAACTTCCCACATTCTAGGTTTTGGTATACCATGTGCTACCTATATTCGACCACGTTCTGTCCATATTTATTGTTAATAAAAATAATGCAACTATCAAGGAAAAACAAATTGATGATTTTATATATATTTTATTTACTTGGGGAGATGAGATGGGTATAAGTTAAAATGTTCAATCGATTCTTTGACAGCTGTCACCCAGATTTATAATGATAAAATATCTAGAAGTGTTGGGTTAATAATGATAAAATAATGTTCCAAAAGTATTTAGGTTGTCACCCAGATTTATAATGATAAAATATCTAGAAGTGTTGGGTTAATAATGATAAAATAATGTTCCAAAAGTATTTAGGTATAATTTTCAAAAAATACTATCTGACACCATATTTGAAAATACTATAACCATGAGTCAGGTTCCGGGTCCCGGATCAAGTCAGTAGTAGGATTCGGAACCCCAAAGTGTTGCTTTTTTTCTGGAAATGATGGGTTTACATAATATATATATATATGTATATGTAAGATGAGCATTACTAGAATAATTTAATCAAGTTCTTCTGGGTCTGCTATAACTTTAATTCTTATAACACAAGTAGCGTAATACTATAGATATGACTTATGAGAACTCCTGCTACTCAGTAAAAGGGGTGAGGCACGTCAAAGAGAATTCACATTTTTACGTTGATAGCATTTAGCAGTTGATCGTTACTCGTTAGTAGACTAACCTCTTTTGCAATGTGTTTGGTTTATATAATGACAATTTGCAATAGTCATTTGAAAACCTCCCTTAAACTTCACCGCTTACGAAGAGGCTGACTGCTGAGCACCAACCAACAATTCAGATATAGTCTGCATGCTGATTACCAGACTCTGGTGTCATCAAGATCCTACCTCAATCATGAATACCAGTCAATCATCTGCACAATCACAGCTCAATTCATTTTCCTGATAAAAATATCATGCAAAGAAACAAGAAGTCTTTCTTCTTGTAAAATGGATTATTTGCAAACTGAGTTCTCATAAACACATATATATATACAGTTAATAGTTCAGGGGTATAAGTGAATGCTGAAATCTAAAACTTGCTAAATATAAGAAGTGACATTCCTTTGACACATACCAAAAAGAAAAGTATGACATATAAATTAAAATGAAGGAATACTATTTATGGTGACATATAGCTGAAGATTATGTCTTAGTATTCTGTCTTCCTTTCATCCTCTTCCTACGAGGTCCTGTACCAGACATTTACAGTCTAAACTCTAAAGAGTCACAAATCCAAGTTCACCCAAAATAGTTTTGTGAGGTTCTATTCAACAACAACGATACCTAAATCAAAAACAAGTTGCAGCAAACTATATGAATCCTCACCATACGTTACTTTGTATCAAATTTTCTCATTCATTTCAGACTATGCAATTGTTGAAAGGCTTTTCCCTCCAGCTGTGCTTGTATAGAACAAGTAAACTGTTTCACAGTAATTTTCTTATTCAAATGGGTCAAAGATGCAGCAACTCATAACACATTTATCTTTGTAGGGCCTTGCATGAGAAAGATGACCGGCGCCCGTCAAGAGCAAAATTTTTCCTCATTGCGTTGATATGCAGCTTTTGCTGGTATTTGGTACCAGGATATCTATTCTCCACACTCACGAGCATTTCATGGATCTGCTGGGCATTCTCCAAATCAGTGACGGCTCAGCAAATTGGATCAGGCATGAGGGGCCTTGGACTTGGAGCTGTAACCCTAGATTGGTCTGCTGTGGCATCCTTCTTGTTCAGCCCCCTCATCTGCCCTTTCTTTGCCATTGTCAACATCTTTGCAGGGTACATGTTGATAATATACATGGTGATCCCAATAGCATATTGGGGATTTGACTTGTATGGTGCTTCCAAATTTCCCATTTTCTCATCGCACTTATTCACATCACAAGGTCAGAAGTACGATATATCAGCCATTGTGAATGACAAGTTTGAGCTAGATATTGGTAAGTATGAGGAGCAAGGGCGGATACATCTAAGCATGTTCTTTGCTCTCACTTATGGTTTTGGTTTTGCTACTATAGCATCTACACTTACACATGTGGCGTTGTTCTATGGAAGGTAAAACACACTACTTATCAAGCCAAAGTACTACTATTTTGTCAAATTGCTCCTTGTGTTTTACAATCTAGAGTCGAAGTTGAGAAAAACTATGCTTTTCAAAAAAATTATAATGGATTAACAATCTATCATCCCAAAATTAATACTGTGTGAATTAATTTTACAGTTCTTCAAATTTTTGACAACTCAATTGCTACATATATAGAGCTCTTTAGCAGCAAAGACCAAAGTTTCCACAATTTAAGTAGAACTATGAATAAGTTCAAGAATTGCTTATTAATAAGCTACAATGATGGTGGTGGTCAAGGATTATCTTTATTGTCCACTTGCAATATGTAGGGAAATATATGAAAGATTCCGAGCTTCATACAAGGGAAAGGAGGATATTCATACAAGACTAATGAGGAAATACAAAGACATACCTTCGTGGTGGTTTAATGCATTGCTTCTGGTGACACTAGCAATCTCCCTAATCCTCTGCATTTTCTTGAATAACCAAGTCCAGATGCCATGGTGGGGGCTTCTTTTTGCAAGTGCTATTGCTTTTATCTTCACACTTCCAATCAGCATCATAACAGCTACAACAAACCAGGTGATAAAGCATACACATTTACACTTACATTTAGCACCACAAGCATGTTTTGCACCTATAAGATAAATTAGCATGCTTGAACTTTTTATCCGGCCAAAATATAGGCTATTACCATCGAGCTTCAAAAGAGATCTTAATGTACTATTATTGGGAGCTCTAAGTATTACGAAACGACTAAAATTCACACTTTGTTTAACATACCAATATGCAAGCCCCAAAGTCGATGTCTGATACCTTAAACTGGTTGGATTTATTACAAGAACGAATCCAAGATAATCACGCTTGTTACTTCAATAGAGTTCTTTCCAAGCTTCTTATTTATGATGCTAATTTGCAGACCCCAGGCTTGAACATAATCACTGAATATGTCATGGGAATAATACTACCAGGACGACCAATAGCCAATGTGTGCTTCAAAGTCTATGGGTACATGAGTATGTCACAGGCTGTCTCTTTCCTCAGCGACTTCAAATTGGGTCACTATATGAAGATCCCCCCTCGATCAATGTTCTTGGTTCAGGTATATTCACTTTATCATTTCTGCCGAAAAGTTGGAAAATACAGCAGTGATGAACTTGGAGCTTCTAGAACAAAGATTAGCAATAACAATTTGCTAGGTATAGAGACCACAAGTCCATCATGAAGAAGCTTCTTCATGTCTTTAAGACATCCAGAATAGTCACCAGTGCCTTAATTCAGAGAGAAAACATGTTTTATGTGCCAAGATATAAATGACATGAATGCAGACATTAAATCACCAAAGATGTATAGAATAGAACATCAATTCAATGAACTGAGTTAGCATTTCAAAACCCATCACTAAAAAGCCCAATCTCCTCCCATTAATTTTTTTTTTTTAAAAAAAACACGGAAAGCACCAAAACGTATTTACCTCTATATGTATGTAGATAGTTGTCCACAATCTGATGAATGCTAAATTATGAGTGCAATGCTTATTAAAAGCAGCTATATGGGGTAGAATAAACTTGAGCATACAAGAAAAACAAGTAAATATGGAGAGTTAGGATTTCATAATCTATCAACATACTGTAGACAAGAATTTAGCAATTTATCTTTCATCAGGAAGTACTGAGACATGTTATTTAACTTGGTCAATTTTTTCCAGCTACTAGAATTTATTAATGTTCCAAACAACAGTAAATTCCAGAATAGAAGAATATATTTCATTCTTGTTTGGTTAAATTCCAGTTTTTAGGAACAATAATTTCCGGAACTATCAACATATCTGTGGCGTGGTGGCTGCTAAACTCCATCGAGAACATATGTCAAGATGATCTCCTTCCACCAGACAGTCCATGGACATGCCCAGGAGATCGTGTTTTTTTCGATGCATCAGTTATCTGGGGTTTAGTCGGACCAAAAAGGATTTTTGGAACTCTTGGAAACTACAGCTCCATGAACTGGTTCTTCCTTGGAGGAGCAATAGGACCTGTAATAGTGTGGCTCTTGCATAAAATGTTTCCAACACAATCATGGATTCCCCTGATCAACCTTCCAGTTCTTCTGGGAGCAACAGGCGCCATGCCACCAGCAACACCATTGAACTACAATGCATGGGTCATTGTCGGCACAATTTTCAACTTCTTCATCTTCCGATACCGAAAACAATGGTGGCAGAGATACAACTACATTCTATCCGCAGCGTTGGATGCAGGAGTAGCTTTCATGGCAGTCCTACTATATTTCTCATTAGGAATGGAGAATAAAGGAGTGACTTGGTGGGGTACCAACGGGGAACACTGTAAATTGGCAACTTGTCCAACAGCCAAAGGCATAGCTGTTGATGGGTGTCCAGCTAGATAAGTGGATATATTCAGTATAAATTATATGTATTTAAGGGCCCAAAAGAATCTCTATATTCTCTCAAGTAGTATTCAGAAGTTACACACCTAGATCTGGATTTGCTGCATATTGCTCCCACCTAAATTCTCTCTTGTAAGTAATGACAAACATTCTTGTAAAAGAAGACTGTTAACTACTTCTACAATTCTACCGTATTCAACTGCAATCACATTTTCCATGGAAGAATTAAAATTGTTTGCAGTCCATCTTGTCCAATGTTGGTTATAGTAAAAGAAGGTCATGCAGTTGCAATCTGCGAAGATGTTCTCCGAGACTGAAAGCAATTATGCATCCATCAGTCTGATGGAGCGAGAGGAAAACTGAAACGTGCACAAACACGGGAATACTTGCATGTGAGGCAGGGATGACAAACGCAGCGGGCGGTTGCGGGCCAAACCCACAAAGACTTCAACTCACACCTCTCCGCATAAACCTGCACCACCCCACACCATTATCTATCCCTACAACTGTCACTGTCTTACTTCATGTTCAGGCTCTTCCCTTTTTTACTTGTTATAACTATGAACATTAATACAGTGAACTCTATATGAGTACTACAACTGACAATTATCTCCAATCTAACAGAACGTGTATCGAGAAAAATTCCTTAACATAGGAATTAGAATAGGAATAAGAATAGGAATCCTAGTTGGAAAAGGTTTCCAATGTAGTGTCTATAAATAGGATCTTCATGTAACAATTTAGATACGCAATTCAATAATATTTTCTCCAATATTTCTCACATTGGCAATCCTCCCTTTGTTTCCATTTGTTTGTCCGGTTAAGACATGACATGGATTTTAAGAAAGTAAAGAGACTTTTGAATCTTGTGTCTTAAACTAAAAATATGTACAATGTATCAAAATGTCATTTAGCCTTGTGATCTTAACCATGTCACATGGAAAGTTAAATCAAAGAGTAGCCAAAAAAGGTAAAAGGTATTCTATTTAAAACGGACTAAAAAGGAGAACAAGACAAGCATGACAATTCAATTTCACTAAATTACAGACTATTCAAACTCTTCTAGTCAACTTCCAATTGAAAAAAGAAGAAGAATAATTTCCTTTAAACTTACTACTAATGGTCCCTCCAAGATCTCATCCCTCTTCTTGCTCCTTTCTTGATGTACATTTTGTCTTTTTGCACTTCTGCATTGCCTCGATGCCATTTTAAGTATATACTACCTCTTAGTTGCCTAAGCAAAATGATTACTTCGAGAATACATACATCTCACATAAAAATTTAAAAGGAATTCAGTTATTCTTATATGAGTTGGCTTAACTATGAAGAGGATGGGAATTCATATTGTACCCCACTTAGGATGAATGCACTGAGCGCCAGTGGTTATACTCATCCATCCGAATTATAAATGAGCTAGAACAAGGAGAACCACCTCCACCATATGCCTGCATGTTTAAAGAAGCAAAGTCTTTGTCGGTACAAAATGTAAAGAGCATGAGTCTCTGTTTCTTTGTAGGAGGGTGAACGGGACAAGAATAGTTGGCAGCATAATTTCAAGGAGCTTTAGTGGTGAGGAATATCTTTGAGGCGAAGAGAAATAAATAAGTAAATAACTACCAAGACAAGTGAATCATGATGCAGACCTTGGCAACTTCTGAAGTATCAGTAGCAGCATCTACAGTCCTCAGACACATCTTGAGATTCTTCCGCTGAAGGTATATGACTGCTCCTATAGGCCTGGGGTATAATAGATTCAAAGTAAATGCAGCAGTTACGTGTACTAAATTGTGGTAAAAGCAACTATAACCTAAATATGCTCTTTTAGTATAAAACTAGTCATGAATCTGGATCATGAAGCTTATGATCTTTCTGGTTCGACAGTGAAGTAATAAAAATGGTCTCAATGAACATGCCAAACGTTAAGAAGGAATAGATAAATGAACGTAAAAACCTGAGTCCAACTGAAGCGCTTTTCTTGCTAAGTTCCTTGCCAATTTCATCACTTAAGTCTGGATCGCCATCAGCTCTAACCCCCTAAAAGGTACAAGAGAATTTAAATACTTCATCTAACTATCTTGAGAAAGGGAAACAAAAATTACAATTATAACCGAAATAGAGTAATGTTGGCTAAGGATGAATAGCCTGGTATATGGAAAACCTATATAAGATTGAAAACAAGTCAAGCAGACTATTGTAGGAAATGTTACCGAGCATCTGAAACTAAATACTTTAAATACTGACATACATTCAGCTCTCAGAGACTACATAGTATTTTTGAGTGTAATGAAGTAAGTTGCCAATTCAAAAGATAACGTCATAAAAGATTATTCTTCTTTACCAAGCATTCACCATAAAGTCCTCTCCCCAGCCGAATTTTGAAAAACTTATCCAGCAACTTGTGTGCTGCAGCCAGTCTCTTTGAAATATGGGAGTTTCCACTAGCAATTAAATCACCGGTGTGAATCCCCATTAGCTGTTTTAAGGGTAAAAATATTTGTTATACTCTACTGAGGGGAAACATTTTATGTAAAAAGGAATGCAACATGACCCCTTCCTTCAGCACAATAAAATGGAAGAACTACACAGCATCAAACGCATACTTTATTATCTCCAATCTTTCATAACCACCACATCTCACCCCTAAGAGAAAAGCAAAAAATAACTGCAAACCTGTTCATACATATGTGGATTAGTGATGCAGTTCAATTTTGAACGCCACTGGTTAATTCCAATTCCAAAGGCCCTAATATCAGGCAAACTCCACCTGTGAAGATCTCCATCTTCAATATATTTTAGAACATTTTCAACTCGATCTTGAAAAGTAGAATTTAGCAAGCTGATAGCATCCGTCTGCGTATTAAAAACACACATACATCAGCACTTTAAGGACTGTCACTTTGAATAACAGTCTAGCTTAAAAACAAGTATTGCCAATGACAAATTCAATAGAATGCACCTTATTGGATCCAACCTCTGAAAGCCTAGAAGAGAAATGTTCATAAACAGCTACTGAACTAGTTTTCTCGAGGTTGACATGAAATGTGAGACTCCCACCAGAGCTTTGATTCAAAGGGATCTTGGATAGAGCAGACTTCCGGTGATCAAACCCTACTATCCTAATTTAATTTTAAAAATCAATTCATAGCCCGTCCCCAACTTCCAGAATCATTAACAAAACCAGCATATGAGGAAATTTATGTTTATTTATATTTTTAAAAAAAAGAAAAACTTACTGGCATGAGGTCCGCCGAGTAAGCTCCTCCGCAAATCCTTTTGGACCAACAAAATCAAGGAAGTAGCAATTCTGCAGCCCGTCAATACACAAATCTTCAACTCTATCAAGTAAATTACAAAGGGAAAAAGAGTAATCCATGTTCAATGCCAGACACGAGCTGAATAGAGAATACAAAAGACTAAAGGATAAATATTACGAATTCTTTTCTTCTTTGAATAGGTAACCTGACATCTTTGCTTAATCAATCAACTAATAGTCCATCCAAAATAGTTAAGAGTCTATTACATGAATCCACTTTTTGTCTCTATCAAATTGTATTTGGATTCATCCTAGTGAAACTATATTACATCAAACCTCCTATGTCGCAGTTTCTACTGTGAAGAATTGAAAAAGAAAACGTACCTGAAGGGTTCGACGGAAGAGAAAGGCAAGATGAGGTGAGGTAGGTTGAGATGAGAATGATAGAGGTGAGTGAAAAGCGCGGCAAAAGCTCCGGAAAATGAAGGATAATTATAGAGGATGAGATTTGGGACTTTGTCTTCAGATGCTTTAGCCAATGCTTTCAATGCTGCTTGTGACCTGAAGCACCGGATTAACGGCGATGATACAGAATAACTCTGGAACCGGAAAACTGACAGAGGCATTACGTCGTCGTAAGTGCGGCGAATTTAGACTGAGCCCGCAAAAGAGGCCTGCGTTGTTTTCCAGCGACGACGCGAACAGAAGTGAAGCCGGGATGAGAAAATTATGACAATGGTTTGCATTTTTTAAATTAAAGTAGGTTTAAATAGTCTTCGCGAATAGTTTTAGTTCCTTTTATATTTTAATATATTAAAAAGGAAAAATTTTATTGATTGCCCTAATATTAAAATTACATAAATTTCATGTCAAAAATTGGTTGCTGATGGATGATAAGCAACCATAAAAATAATCATGAAAATTTATAGGCCAAATACATACGCAGGTCCCTAAAGTTGTTCGCGTTTTTTCCCCAGGTACCTCAACTAACCAAGATTCCTATTAAATGCTTTAACCCCTATAATTTGATCCTTTTAAATATTCTTGGCTGATGTGGAACCAAATTTTAATAAATTATTTTTGATAATTAGGCGCGTGAGATGAACCTTCCCCACGTGGAAATTTTGACCAATACACTCCAACTCAATTACACGTCAGTGCCACATATTAAGTCATCAATATGTGGCACACGACGGCGACGGCGACGGAGAAGAGAGAGGAAGATGGGGAAGTGACACAGAGGTCACCGATTAGAGTACATAGGAAGAGGCAAAACACTGGAGATCTCAATGGAGTTAAAGAGAGAAGTTTTCGGTCTCAGACGGGAAGATCGGCGCCGTCTCCGGAGAAAAGAAGGTCGCCGGCTTCGTCAAGGGGAGTACAGGGGAGGGGAATGTCGCAACAAAGGCGTAATGTGGGACCCCCAAATGGACCCCGACGCGGTCCCAGCGAAAATGGGGTTCGGCGGTCAAATTCTCCGGCGAAACGTGGACCGGTGGATGCACGTCGGAATGTGAGAAACAGAAGTCCGGCGGCGCGTGAAGCAGAAAAACCTGGTAATCAATCGCCGACGAGAAACGCCGAGAATGAGGGAAGTAGTAGTAAAACTGAAAAACCCAAAGAAGAAGTTTCGCCGGTAATTGGCGAATCACTTGAAAATCCTCTGATTTTAATGGAATGCTTCATTTTTAGGTTTGATGACAAAAACATATTAAGTCATCAAACCTAAAAATCAATTTCCCCCCAAATCACTTCTAACCCGTTTTTAAACGAGAAAACCCTAAGAATCTCTTTCTTTCAATGACTTTTACAGCTGAAATTCTTAGATTTTAAAGTGATTAAAGTGATGAAATTCTTAGATTTTAAAGTGATAAAAGTGAAATTCTTACATTAGAACTTGATGATTAAGAAGAAATCAATGAAAAAAAGATATAATATAATGAGCTAAATAGGAGAAATAATGATGAAGAGAAACAAAAGAGGAGAAAAAATGGAAGAATGGAGAAATTAGGGTTAAAAGGGGGAAGAAGTTAGTTGGTGGGTGGTTCAAGATCCACATCAGCGCTTTTAAAGAGTCTGCACGAGCTTAAAGGACGTGAGATCACGTTTGGCTCCACATCAGCCAAAAATATTTAAAAGGATCAAATTGTAGGGGGTTAAAGGATTTAATAGGAATCTTGGTTAGTTGAGGTACCCGGGGGAAAAGCGCGAACAACTTTAGGCACCTGCGTATGTATTTGGCCAAATTTATATTATAAAATAATTTAATTAATTTTAGATTACATGGTATTATTTATAATGAAGTGTTTAAAATTTTTATATACTAATATATTTTCAATATATTGTCCGAGCAGCTCTTAGTCAATATGATTGTTTGTCAACTAAAGGACAATTTTGGCATTTTCTAAAGTAAGCGCTTTATTGGATTTGTATTAAACATTGTGAATTTGTGGTGTTAAACGCGTTTTATGCATTATTTGTCAACTCCTTGTATTTAGGTTGTCACGACCGGAATCTAGACCCCAGACGAGACCGGCGTCGTTGACCTCTCAGAGGTCGCAGACAAGCCTGCTTACGTCATTCTTACTTTACATAGATTAATTTTAGCGGAAAATTTGAAATTTTTGATTCTTTAATTATACTTGCTGAACATTCTTAACATTTCGTAATCGTTCATCATCAACCATCTAACATTTAAGAGAGAAGCAACTGAAAGAAATAATTCATTAAGTATTAATTGTATATCGGCCACAATAGCACCAATACAAAGTTTGAACCAAAACAGGAAAGAAACGCTAGTGGAACATGCTCCACTAGCTCAACTCTAAAACTACGCTAGAATGTAAAACAGTAGCATCCTCGAAAGCATGAGGACCTACCAAACTCCGGATGAGTACTGACGTCCGGATAGCTGCAACGACGAACCTGTAGCTCTAGCGTCCACCTGTGCCTGCACCTAAAAGTAGATGTTCGTATGGAATTAGTACACACTTGTACTAAGTATGGGTATATGCAAGTACACACCAGGGACATACATGAGAAAGAATAGCTCTTTCCTAACAACATGATTTTTGGAAGTCAAGTCAGTGGACTTGCCAAATTGAGATTGGGAAAGTTATGCCATGAGAGTGACATGCATCATTATAATTATCGTATGGCACACAAAACATAACATATTCATATAGCACATAACATATAACACATACTTTCTCTCATATTATTCATTCGTATACCATGAGACCTTATTATCATAGACTTAACTTTAAGACTTTCCAAAATGAGGGCTCAACATATGGGACCTCAACTAGGGAGCCTTCTTTAGCAAACACAGAGTCTGCTTCACTCATTCATTCGTATTTCATTTCAATTCATTCATAGGCCAGTGCGAACACCAGTTATACCTAGGATGTAGTTTAAGACTTTCATCGGGTTTGCTGTGCAATGATCAGGAATGACCTAATGTCATTACCTGAATCTAGCTCACCTCTTGATTATCCTATCCTAACACCTTCGGTATCATTCATTTCTTTATATGATTCATTTGAGGCTGGCCTCATTCATTCATTGGGAACTTTAACTTTAACCGACATAGATCATGTGAGCATCATGAAATTCAGTGTCTTCCCCACACCGAAAAGAGGTGGAATCACCGGCCAAAGCGATTCAATAACATGCTAGCGTATATGGGAATTTAACCCTGCCATGTCCCTATAGTGGCAATATAGGTTCAAAGACTAGGAGATGTATGGAGACCCATACCCGGCAAGCCGGACAGTCTCATCTCATGAGAATTACGTGAACCTCCGCCCTTCCCGAAAGAAGGCATCACCACTCATAGCTAGCCTATCGATGCTCGGTATAAAGTTCCATTACATTCAACTCATACATCATAGAAGTTTGCTTCTAGTATGAGGTCATCATAGCTCAATAGATGATTTCTCATCTCATCATTATTTAAACTCAATATTTTTATTAGAGTATTCATAGAGCTGGTCTCTTCATTATCTCACATTCACATTGGTAAGTACGTATTAGTAACATTTACTTGAGCTCATTTGAGATTACTCTCATCATATACAGTAGCCTCACATCATGGTTGTCATCACATCCTTCATTTCATTATGTATATCTTAGGTCCACTTATTTTTGAACGTATGTTAGACTTATGTGTCTATACATACAAGCCATAGGACTTCATTTATAGTTCGTTAAGTGATTCTTATTTTTTTTCTAAGATTATGTATTACAAGACTTATGTATCTTGTATATATGCCAAGATCTTTGATTTTTGATCTAAGTAGATGACATTACTCTTGAATATTTCACCCACGTATGACTTATGTATCAATACGGAGGTTTGGACACGAGAACCCAAATTTTGAATTATTTGAATATCCTTTATATTTTTCATTGATTTTAGTTCTAATATTCATAAATTTAGAACCCTAAGTTAAATCTCAACATTTCGTGAAATAATAACTTTTCTATTTTAATTAGAATTCTAAATTAAATTTCAATCATTTACGTGAAAGAATAATTTTCTAATTTAATTAGAATTCCAATTTAAATCTCCATATTTACATAAAAGAATTAATATTCTATTTTTAATTAAAATCCTAAATTAAATCTCAATGTTTACATAAGAGAATTAATTTTCCAACTTTAATTAGAATTTTAATTTATTATTATTATTATTATTTTTGATTAAATTCGCTTGAATAGGGAGGTTGTGGGTTCGAACCCCCACAGCCCCTTATTTTTCCTCTCTTTTTCGCTGAAGAGGAGGCTGTGAGGTGGTGGGTTCGAACCCCCACAGCCCCTCTATTTTTTTTATTAAATAGGGGAGTGGCAGTGAGGTTGTGGGATCGAATCCCCACAGCCTCACGTTATTATTTGCGCCTTCCCTGCAGTGCTGAGGTCGTGGGATCGATTCCCACGCCTCGCGTTCCTTTTCTCTTCTTTTATTTTTTCGCGCATAGCTGGGGGTCGCGGGTTCGATCCCCGCCCCCAGCATTCCCTCTTTAATCTTTTTTTTTTTTTTTCGCGCGTGGCTGGGGTCGCGAGTTCGATCCCCCCCCAGCCCCCTTTTTATTTCTTTTCTTGGCGAATTTCGCCGGTCCCCTGTCCCCAGTTCGAGCCCCGTCTTCAGCACTCCTTTTTAATTATTTTATCAAGGCATGTGTTGGTGAGGTCTCGGGTTCGATCCCTGAAGACGTCACCTATTTTTTTTTTAATTCGTTTTTGCTCAAATTTTCCAGAATGTGTCTAAAACTTATTTCCAAGTTTTGGGACACTACTCCATAATTTTTCACATCCTTTTTACGGGTTAATTTAGCATTTTTTTCTTATACATTCATTAATGTTCTTAAGACAAATTTAGGGGGATGATTTGATCATTTATTGTGACTAGAATTTATAGCCTTTCAACCATGTGAATATTACGAATATTACGATTTTAAGAGCCTCTAATTGCACATAAAACACGAGTAATCTCAAATCTATTAACATGCTAAAGAAAGACTCAAAGTCATGATCAAAATCTTGCACAAATACATACATATTTACATTCATATTTTCCAAAAAACATAAAATATAATCACATCATCATGAACACATACTCGAAACGAGATTATCACCACAAACAAGTATCCCTAAATTCTATCAACAAGAATACCCAACCTAAGATCATAGGGAGCTAGTGACAGGGACATGCAACGGGGAACAACCTTAGTTTCGAGATGAATAGTTTGAATCGTAAGGAACCTCTTGGGAAAGGATCCAAGAGAGAAGAAAACCCATACCTTAATCGATGTTCAAACTTTAAATGTTGCTGCCCGGAAAACTCCTCCAAACCACTCCCAATTCACTTCAACGTACACCTCACTCAACAAACCTCTCTTAGCCTTGACGTTTTGATTACTTTTTCTTTTGCTTAAAATTTTTTTGTGAGTTCTTCAAGCATGAAAATTGTTGATATTTTGGCAGAAATAATGTGAGGAAGATGGAGAACGTGAGAGAGGGAGTTTAGAAGCGTGAGAGAGAGAGGGCTAATTGGATTAGGAGACTAATTCAAAAATTAGTCAAATAACATTAAAATAAATAAATACAAATCTGATTTGTTTATTTATTTATTTATTCATTTAAAACGTGAAAGGACAATTATGCCCTTAAATACCTATTTATTCTTATTTACATAATTCTCTCTTTTTTTTTTTTGAATCGTTACATAGGTACTTGAGACGCATTTTTTATTTATTTATTTTCAACAATATGACATTTTTTAGATAAAATAATTATCTTTTCTTCATATTATAAAAGTAATATATGAACTAAATAAATATATTCTTAAAATATTGGACAAATAAAATCAAACTAAACAATAATATAGTGATTTCAATAATAAATGAGATGACACAAAAGTTTACTAATAAATTGTGTTTGGCAAAGGGTTTTACCCCTTAACTTTTCAGCTTTTTATATTAAGGTATCTTAGAAGTGTTTTTAAACTTTTCAACGATATGACATTTTAAAAAATATATATATATATTTATCTTTTCTTCATTTTATAAAATTAATAAATAGAATAAATAAATATATTTTTAAAATAGTGGACAAATAAAATTACACAAAAGAGTTAATACAGTAATTTCAACAATAAATGAAATGACACAAAGTTTACTCATAAAACATTTGACAAACGTGATTTATGCCTTATTTTCTCAGTTTTTTGTATTTAGGTATTTGAGAAGCATTTTTCAAATTTTTAACGATATGACATTTTTTTAAATGATAAAATATTTATATTTTCTTCATATTATTGATGTATATAAATGAAATAAACAAATATATTTTTAAAATAGTGGACAAGTAAAATTAATCGGAAGAGGTAATATAGTAATTTCAACAATAAATAAGATGACATAAAAGTTTACTGATAAATCGCATTCAGTGAACGCGTTTTATTCTTATTTTTAAACTCTTTGTATTCAGGTATATGAGAAGCGTTTTTCAAATTTTCAACAATATAATATGCTCTTATAAAAGTAATAAATGGATATGTTTTTAAAATAGTAGACAAATAAAATCAAACTGAAAGGGTAATATAGTAATTTCAAAAGATATAAGATCACACAAAAGTTTACTCATAAATCACATTCGATAAACTCATTATATGACTTATCTTCTCACCTCTTTGTATTTTGAGAAGTGTTTTTCAGGTTTTCACTGATATGACATTTTTTTAAGAGATAAAATATTTATCTTTTCTCATATTATGAAAATAATAAATGATATAAATAAATATGTTCTTAAAATAATGGACAAATAAAATCAAACTTAAAGGATAATGTAGTAATTTCAACAATAAATGAGATGACACAAAAGTTTACTCATAAATCGTGTTTGGGAAACACGTTTTATGTATCTTCTTAGCTCTTTTTAATTAGGTTTCTGGAAAACATTTTTCACTTTTCAACGATTAAAAGATAAAATATTTATCTTTTCTTCATATTATAAAAATAACAAATGAAATAAATAAATATATTTTTATAATAGTGGGGAAAAATCAAATGGGAAGAATAATATAGTAATTTCAACAATAAATGAGATGACACAAAAGTTTATTCATAAATCACGTTTGGTGAACGGGACTAATGACTTATCTTCTCAGCTTTTTTAATTAGATATCTAAGAAGCATTTTTCAAGTTTTAAACGCTATGATATTTTTTAAAAAGATAAAATAATTTTTTTCTTCATTTTAAAAAAGTACTAAATGAAATAAATAAATATATTTTTAAAATAGTGGACAAAAAAAAACGGAAGAGATAATATAGTTATTTCAACAATAAATGAGATGATACAAAAGTACTCATAAATCGCGTTTAATAAACGCGTTTTATGTCATAGCTTCTCAGCTCTTTGTATTTAGGTATTTGAGAAGCGTTTTTTAAGTTTTCAGCGGTATGACATTTTTTCTGAAAGATAAAATATTTATCTTTCATTCATATTATAAAAGTAATAAATGAAATAAATATATTCTTAAAATAGATGACAAATAAAATCAAACTGAATGGGTGATGTAGTAATTTCAGCAACAAATGAAATGACACAAAAATTTACTATAAATCGTTAAGACGCGTTTTGTATCATATCTTCTCAACTTATTGTATTTAGGTATCTAAGAAACAGTTTTTCAAGTTTTCAACAATATTATAAAAGAATAAGTATTGATATTTTCTTTATTTTATAAAAATAATAAATGATATAAATAAATATATTTATAAAGTAGCAGACAAATAAATTAAACAAAACGAGCAATATAATAATTTCAACCATAAATGACATTTTTTAAGAGATAAAATATTTATATTTTCTTCATTTTATCAAAAGTAGTAAATGAAATGTACAAATATATTTTTTAAATACTGGACAAATAAAATTAAATAGAAAGGGTAATATAGTAATTTCAATAATAAATGAAATGACACAAAAGTTTTCTCATAATCGCATTTGGTGAACGCTTTTTATGCCTTATCTTCTCAATGATATTACATTTTCTTAAAGATACAATACTTATCTTTTCTTCATATTATTAAAGTAATAAATTAAATAAATAAATAAATTTTAAAAATAGTGAACAAATAAAATTAAACGGAAGGGGTAATATAGTAATTTCAACAATCAATGAGATGACACAAAAATTTACTCATAAATCGCATTTGGTAAACGTGTTATACCACTTTTCTTCTCAACTCTTTGTATTTAGGTATCTCATAAGTGCTTTTCAACTTCTCAACGATATTACCTTTTTTTATAAGATACAATATTTATCTTTTCTTCATATTATTAAACTAATAAATTAAATAAATAAAAATATATTTTTAAAATAGTGAACAAGTAAAATTAAACATTAGGAGTAATATAGTAATTTAACAATCAATGAGATGACACAAAAGTTTACTCGTAAATCACATTTGGTGAGCGTATTGTATGACTTATCTTCTCAACTCTTTGTATTTAGGTATCTCAGAAGCGTTTTTCAACTTTTCAACAATATGACATTTGAAAAAAGATAAAATATTTTTCTTTTCTTTATTTTATAAAAATAATAAAATAAATAAATATATTTTTAAAATAGTGGACAAATAAAATTAAACAAAATGGGATAATATAGTAATTTCAATAATATATGAGATAATACAAAAGTATACTCATAAATAGCTTTTGGTGAACGCGTTTTAAATCTTATCTTTTCAGCTTTTTCTATTAGGTATTTGAGAAATGTTTTTCAACTTTTAAACGACAGGACATTTTTGTAAAAGATAAAATATTTATCTTTTTTTCATTTTATAAAGGGAAAATGCACAAGTACCCCCTCAACCTATGCCCGAAATTCTAAAGACACACTTATACTATACTAATGTCATATTACCCTCTTGAACTTATTTTATAAGTAATTTTATACCTCTTTTCAGATTATGTGACACTAACTTGAAAAAAAAAGTCAACTAGCGTTAAGCCCACAAGATAGTGCCACGTAGAGCGAAAAGAGGTATAAATTTATTAATAAAAGAAGTTCAGGGGTAATAAGACCTTAGTATAGTATAAGTGTGTCTCTGAAATTTCAGATATAGGTTGAGGGGTACTTATGTATTATCCCTTTTATAAATTAAAGTAATTGATGACATGAATAAATATATTTTTATAATAGTGGACAAATAAAATTAACGGAAAGGGTAAATAGTAATTTCAACAATAAATGAGATGACATGAAAGTTACTCATAAAACGCGTTTGGTGCTCGTTTTATTCCTTATCTTCTCAGCTTTTTGTATTTAGGTATATGAGAAGCGTTTTTCAAATTTTCAATGATATGACATTTTTTAAAAAGAAAAAATATTTATCATTTTTTAATTATAAAAATAATAAATAAAATAAACAAATAAATTCTAAAAACAGTGGACAAATAAAATTAAACGGAAGGGGTAACATAGTAATTTCAATAATAAATGAGATGACACAAAAGTTTACTCATTAATCGAATTTGGTGAATGCATTTTATGCCTTATATTCTCATCTATTTGTATTTAGGTATATCTGAAGCGTTTTACAACTTTTCAACGATATGACATGTTTTTAAAAGATAAAATATTTATTTTTCTTCATTTTATAAAAGTAACAAATAAAATAAATTAATATATTTTTAAAATAGCGGACAAATAAAACTAAACTAAAGAGGTGATATAATAATTTCAACAATAAATAAGATAACACAAAAGTATCTTATTTGGTAAACACATTTTATGCTTTATCTTCTCAGCCTTTGTATTTAGATATCTCAGAAACATTTTTAAACTTTTCAATGAAATATTTTTTTTGAAAAAAATAAAATATTTATTTTTTCTTCATTTTATAAAAGTAATTAATGAAATAAATATATTAATTTCAGTAATAGATGAGATGATACAAAATCTCATTCATAAATTGCATTTGGTGAAAATAATTTAATATTAATCAAACTGTTATAATTATACCATAAAATATAAAAATCAAATTATAAAATATCATAATGATAATTATATTATAAAATATGGAAATTAAACTTTAAAATACCGATTCGATAGGATAATGATTGAGTGTTGGGCATTTCAAGAGGATCTGAACCGAATTAGTAGACGCCGGGTCACAACTCTAAAAATATGTTACAATGACAAAAGAGTCCCTGTATTGATATGCTTATAAAAAGTTTTGTCTATTTTGTTGATAAGTAAGCCAGCCTTCTTTTGTAGAATATTTTAAATTCATTGAACATACAGATATTTTTTTCTCTCTCCTCCTCCTCCTCCTCCTCCTCCATTGTTCTACCAAATCACTGTATGTAATGGGGATACATTCTTTGCTTGGCTATCTGTCTCTTTTCTTCAACTTTGTCTTCTCTCTCCCATCACATTGTTCTACTAAATTACATGCATTCTTAACGTACCGTCGATCTTTTCTGAATTTTTTGTTTCATGTCATGTTAACAATTCTTCTTCTTTCTGGGCTTGTTTTGGAATCTTTTTGGCGATGCAAGTTGTTTTTCAATAGATCAAGAAAATAGTAGTAATTGATTCTTTTGTTCTTATAGCTATTTGTCCGTTTCTCTTTAATATGAAACTCATAGCTTTTTAATGATTCTTAATTGCTATGTAGCTTTATTAGTTGTTTTTTCTTCTTCTTTCCGTATGACTATACCTAGGTTATTAGATTTTCTCTTTGTGAATTTTTTACGCACTTGTGTTTTTGATATGCTTTACTTAAGCGAGGGTCTATCGGCTGAGAACCAAGGTGTATTTTGAAATTTAATGTGCTTTGGAGGTATTTTAGGCAGTCGTTCGATACATTTCATTCTTGTTCTCGATACTGTGGTGTGATGGCTATTGATTCTCTTGCTAATTCAAGTTGAACTAAAAAAAACTTAAAGGAGATGAAACATGTTTCCACCTTTTTCTTTAATAACCCTTCTACAATCTTGAACTTCGAATTTTCTTGAACATTCAATTTTTTTTAATTTTCTGAATTTCTTGATACATGTCATGTTAATAATCTTTTTCTTTATGGCTGTCTTGATTTTTTCTTTTTTGGTGATGCTAGTTGTTCTTCAATAGATCAATGTAGTTGTAATTGGTTTTGATTCTTTTGTTCATATAGCTGCTTGTCCGGTTTCTTTAATATGAAATTCACTGCTTTATCTTGAATAGCTTTTTAATGATTCTTAATTGCTATGGAGCTTTATTAGTTGTGTTTTTTCTTTTCTTTCGTATGACTACATAGGTTACTAGATAATCTGATTATGAAATTTATCACACGCTTGTTTTCTTGATATACTTTACTTGCGCCGAGGATCCATCTGGAATAGCCTCTCCACCTTTACAAGGTAGGGATAAGGCTGAGACTCCAATTGTGGGATTATACGGTGTATTTTGTTGTTGTTAATGAAATTTAGTGTACTTAGGAGGAGGTATTTTAGGCGGTGGTTCAATACATTGCATTCTCGTGCTTGATACTGCGGTGGCTATTAATTTGCTAATTCATGTTGAACCAAAAGTAAGTTAAAGAAGCTGAAACATCCCGCCTTTTATTTAAATGACCTTCTACTATCTTGAACTTTGACGAAGTCTGTCAATTTTTATGCTCTTTATAGGAGAAGTCTTGGAAAAGCAAATGAGTTTAGGCATATTCTATGTCATAGGGAATTGGGATAGTTTTGTTGTTTTTGTAATCATGGACATGTCTTTGCATAGCTACTGATGTGATTTAATTTTTTTTCTATAGATTTATTGTCCCACGTTCCACATCATGGTATTAATGCTTGATCAGGTAAATCATCGTTCTCTTCTAGTTTGTAATGTTGAACATATAATTTGCCTATCATCTATTACTATATTTGCATCCATTGGGTAGCTAGATTATCTTGAAATCCTATATTAAATATGGAAAACCTTCTGACCCAAAGGAGGTGATATATTTTACAAAAAGCAACAATGATATATGCATAACTGAAAGGAATTTCATTGTTAACCATTTTAAGCAACTAAAAGTCTCAAACTAATGGATAACCTTTACACTGTCACAAATGTTGAAGCAAGTACTTCAACTTTACTTTATCAAAAAAAAAAATGTTGAAGCAAGTACTTGCGGATATTGCTTGATTATCTGGTTCCGTCATAATCTTGATTATTGTGTTGGTCAGGAGGCCGATCATAAAATGTTGCTAGTTTTTCTCAATTTAGTTAGGTGGTTAGCATATCATGCAACTACAATGTGCAATAAGTTTGTTTTGTAATTATGGCGGAGAAGAACAAAACCGATTGGCTGAAAATGTACTTCAGATGGCCCTATAATTGTGAGTTGAGCCTCTTGGAGTGGTAGGATATTTGTCAAGTCCAAATTTGAATTCCCAGATTTCTTCCATGTGGATTAGATTGGGTGGTTCAAGTGGAGTTTAGGTCCACTGAAAGGTCACTGTATTATTGTTGTGTGCTCTTTTTGAACATGAATCTCAAGGGCATCATCATGTCAACTACTTAGGTCTTCGTGACTTGTCCTCTGCCTTAGCATTGAAAGGATGAGCAGTGGTAGGATGACAGCTGGTGCTTTGTGTCCAGTGATTGGTAGAGATTTTTGGTACATACAACGTATAATCACGAGGAATACACTGGTTTTATTGAAAAGCTATGTTTGGTTGAAAAAGACTGTGTTGGGTAGAAAACCTAAGTTCTCTTGCTCGCGACTCCTGTATCCTTTTATCTTATTTCCTCTAATTTTTTTATTACTCCCATCTCAAGGCATTGTCGCCTTGTATTCCCTGATGGTTTCCCTAATGCTCAAATTAGTAACACTAGCTCCCTGTTACCAAACTGGTCACGTATCATAATATCCCATGCATACTCGTTCTAGGGAATCTTTCAACCTTAACTAGCAAATGAAGTTTCCTCTTTTCAAGTGCTCAAGTAGTTCCTTATATCACCGAGATAGAATCCTCATGCTCAAATGAAGGTTCTTCTTTCCTTTATTTTAGTGGAAGTGCTGTTTTTTATTGTTTCACATTATACTCCATATAAATTTCAGAAACAGTTGTGCCTATATTAGTTATAGAACACGTGATGCTAAACTTTTGCATAACCTTTGATGAAAAGGTACTAACGAATGCTGTAAGTAACGAGTTTCATACTGAAATAAATTTTCCTTATTCCTCGAACGTAACCACCGCTGCTGGTTGCTGTTAAACATACTTTTATAGCTAAAGTAGCACTTTTTGAGTATCATAGTAAATTTTACTTGTCATTTTAAGGTTGCAAATGCTCACAGTTCGTTGAATGAAAATTCCACTAGAATTTGAAACATTGGAACATTCACAGTTTTACGCTTTTATTTTTGGTGACTTTCATTTATGTGATGGATGATGCCTATTTATATGTGCATTAATTCTTCTCGCTTGTGCTTCCAAGCGTATACATCCACTTTTTTTACTTTTAGATGCATTGCATTGAGCATGTATATGTTTTTATCATAAGTTGTGTGCAATGCTTTTATTATGTGTCGTGAGCATTTGCAACCTTAGTGTATAGATGTCCTTCTTGCTATTGGTCCTTCTGAAATAGCATAGATGTCCCAAAAGGTAAAATCTTCTTTTCTGATCATCCTTTGCTATCTATTTTATCTGTCTGATAATTTTAGATTTACCTTAAGCCTTGCAGATGAATTTCCTAATGACATCAGCTAGACTTCTTTTCCTTCTATTTTTATTCCTCATAGGTGAACTGAAAACTTTTGAAAAATTTTCCCTGTACTTGCACTCAACCCCCGACCTAAGATTCAGTTAGCCAAATGCAGCAACTTGCTTGTATAGCCGTATGGTGATATTCAATTTTCTCTTCGGGCTTAAGGTTGAGTTAACTAAAGTAAACTTGTATGAGAGTAGTTAATTTCTGATCTTTCAAAGTTGACCCTACTGTAGTCTCGTGTCTGGACTTAAATCTCAATGTTCTTCTCAGTTTGAATTGGCTGACAAAAAGAGATGTCTGAGTAATTAGTATATCTTGTCCAACTTCCCGCTTTCACAGGGTTTGGAGGTTCTTAATGTTTCATGTGCTTAATTGTGGGCGATTTTTATGCAGTGCATGTAGGAACTGTCAGTCCTTATAACAATAGAAACATGTTCATGAATACTTTTAAAATGATCCTAATGTTAGATTTTTATATGGTCAGATTTTGCATTTTCAGTTTTTTTCCCTATTTCGATTGGTTTGACAGCATAGTTTGGTTCACTGATCGAATTTCGTCAATATGCTATAGTTGTGTCACCTTTATGTTATAGTTTGCAGGGTAGTGCATTACTAGTGAAAAAGGGAGTGTATAGAAGCCTTCTTAGTTTGCAATCATCATCTTAATTAAGCTGTAGGATGAGCATTCTCACAAAAAACCTTAGGATCTTACAATATTGAGTTCAAATTTCTGGAGTCAATTCTTGTAAAGGGGGCTCTTTAGCACAAACGGGAAATTAAGCCATGGAACTCAAAATAAATTTCTTCCAAGTTTGATGCAGCCTTGTATAGTTCCATGAAACCAAATCTTATTTGAGTCATCCTGTATGGGCACCAATCACAGGTATTAATCTACAACCATTTTCATTCAACACATTTACTGAAGCAAACCTTGACAAGTCACAAGTGATAATCCCCATGTTTTATTCCTAATTTAAGTTAAATTACTTTACATAGATAACTTCTGCATCTTCACATAAATCATAAAACTCTCCAACATATCTGCAGAGCATAGTCTTCTCAGGCTTGATGAACTTTTTCCTTCTAGCTTGATCAAGAATGGGATTCATAGAAGTGTCTTTAGATGTAGGTCTAGTTGAGAAAACAGACGACTATCGTTCTTCTGTGTAGTGCAGTTGTAGCCTGTTTTAAAAGTAATAGTGGTGGAGTTAATGTCACGTTTTCTCTATTGCTCTCTGAGGTAGGGATCAAAGTATGGGAGTGGGGGAGAAGCTAGAGTTTAAAGCATGACTAATTCTTCTGATAGGAATTTACCCAAGCTGCATGACACTTGTTGATGTCCCATTCTTCTGTGTTTGTGGCTGGCTTAGCTGGAGATTGATCGGTGCATGTAGGTCATATCCATTGCTGATTGTATGTGTGGCCTGAACACCCCCATTTGGTGCACTTCCATATCCTTGCTCAGAAATCTGAATATATAACTTTTCCTTAGATTAAGTCAAGGACATCTATGCGTGTGGTAAAAGTTTAATGAAAAATCACATTTTTGTGGTGCATACTGCATACACAAACAACAGTTGGAGAATACTCTCTAAATTAGTACCTTCTGCAATTCTGTGTACTCTTGTCGAATGAGGTTTACCTTTTTATAGAGTTCTATATTTTCTTGATGAATAAGATTGCCCTGTAGAAGCAATATTAATCATCTTAGTGCAAAGATAAAAGACACATGGAAGTTGTTATAGTTTTTCTGGTAAGACCTTCTGATTTAGTTCTCTGATTTCATCCATCAGAATCTGCTCCTGCAAGAAAGTAACACATTTAGGATCCTTATAATAAAAAAAGGAGTAATACGTTTGGGAGAAATCGTAGACTTGATTTTAGCATAAGTTTCATGAACACAGAAGAATTTAGGATTTTACCTTTTGCTTTCGTACTCCTTTCAAACTCATTTCAATTTGGTTTTCCAGATTTGTTAGATCTTTGGTGCTGAGTCCAGAAAGTTCTTCACCCAAAAGCTGCCTGTGGTTCATAAAAAAAGGTATTAAGTTAAATTATTTCGCCCTTCAGTTTATTAAGCTTGATCTAAGATGATGAAATTTACATGTTTTATAGTGACTTTATAATTGCATGTTAAGCATGCTTACAACTTCGATTCATGTCCTGTAGCCAAGTAAAAGGAGATGTTCATCTTAATATTTTCAATAATTACTCCTCTCTCCCTTGGTGTTTATTCACAGAAACACATGGAAGAAGACATTGCAATTTCCCAATTTCAAATCTTGGGTGTCATTTCCTTAATAATTCTTGGATTTGTAAGTTTTTGTATTCAGAACTTTTCCAAGTTCTTTCTGAATTGAATTAATTTATATGATATTTGAATGACTAGTCTTTTGTCTTTTTAGTTAATCTTTTGGCATCGATATTTATAGTTTATTGGTGCAGTGGTTCTTATTACTAGCAATTAATCTCTAGCAACCAAGCAGTAGACAAAATATATTTCTGTTCAGAATTCTGTTGTGCACTTATAAATTTTGTATGTTCACAAGTTGCTATATAGGAGTGCATCCTATGACCTCTAAAATCAATAATCATGGCATCTTTATGTTCTGTTTTCACAGCCTTTATTGCCTTGCACCATAAATCTTTTACCAGAAATCCTGAATTTACAATTATGCCCGAGAAGATTGAACCTTATAACAACATGAATTTGCAGCATCTTTGTTGGGGTTCTGTTTCCCTGAAACATAAAAACTAAATAGAGAACTTTGAGAAACCACAAGGAACTGTCTTAACATTAAAGAAGAGCCTCATAAATGCCTTTTGTCTTCTTATATCTGTGCCTAGGATTACTGTTAGTACCTCAAGATGCTTTTATTTGTTTGAGGTAAGACAAGGAAAAAGGGTGAAAGTGAAAGAGGTGATTAAATGGGATGTCTTGCATTTTCAAAGGATAGATAATAGGTTAAATGGAATCAACAATGCAGAAGATCAAGATGAATTGTCTCAGTCTTCTTTATTTTTGGTGTAATCAGGATAGAGTGGGGGATACAGAGCTTTTTGTTGATTTCATAGGGAAAATTGTAAAGCCACCTAGTCTAGTTTTGTTTTTTTGCGGGAATGGTGCCCTCTGGGTTGTAACTTGTAAGTGTCTGTCCTCATTATCTTTGATGATGAGTACTTTGTGAATACACAGTTACCTTTTCTCAATAAATAAATAAATATATTTTGGCCTTTATCATACTCAAATCTTTTGTTTTTCTTTTCTGTTTCTTCCACATTCGCCAGTAGAGTTGTGCAGTAGAATAGATTGTGTATTTCCATAATTGCAGTAGAATGCCTTCTAGATCACAAAATTTTTATAACTTACATACTTTTTGTGTGGCAATATTACTTCCGCAATAATGAGTGTGGCTAAAGTTGTCTTTGCAAAAATACGATTCACAAAGTTATCCTTTGGGATCTAAGTTCAACAGCTGATCAACCTCCAAAATTGAGGTCAGGGTTTGAATCAAGGGGAGCAAAGTAAGGGAGGGTCATTCTTGACAGTGGGGCAGGCTGTGCTAAAATATAATTAAAAAATATCTCCATTAAAATAGTTTTACCCTTTCAGATAAGGTGGTTCACATAATTCAAAAAATTAAAAGGTATTAAATTCTCTACCTATAGTGTGTAAAGGCATCATACTTCTTAATCTATAGCTTATACAACAAAAGATCCTATGGCATCCAGGCATGTAGAAGATATACCATTCAAATCAACTTACCTGTGACTTTCTTGCAAGTAATGCAGCTGCTGCCTCAAACTTGTTACTTCCCTTTGCCAAAACTAGCCAAAAGAGCAAGATAAAAAGTAGAACTAAGTTTGTCATACTAATTTAAATTGATGATTGCTAGATTAGGATTATACAACAACCAAAACAACAATACCCAGTGTAATCCCACAAGTGGGGTTTGGGGAAGGCAGGATATACCAAAACCTTAACTCCCTACCTTTGGAGGTAGGGAGGTTGTTTTTGATTGATCCTCATTTCAAGGATAAGCAAGCAGTTCAGGAAAAGAAATAATACAAGTGAAGAAGTCACGACAAAATACTATAAATAGCATGGCAAAACATTCCGGGTAAAAGGAACAATAACTACAATATAATAATAATATAATTGAAGTACAAGAAACAGATTGGAACAGAAATCGAAGAACCAAAAACTATAAGAGTAATACTATAACTACTAGTATGGAAGAATAAGTGAGATCCTATGGAAACATAGCAAGGATGGAGTCTTCTCAGTCAACAATGCCTAGAAAAGAGGACTAATGGGGATGACAGGTGCCCCAAAATATAATTGGAACTACTTTTGGAAGATACAAAAGAAAGGCAGACAACTGGTTCCTAGGTGTTTTTTGTGCAACTAGACATGGGAAACAAATAACCATCTCGTCCTGCATTGTAAGTTTACTGCTCAAATTTGAAACTTGTTTCTCAACATCACAAGCATGAACTGGACAATGCCAGAACATACATTAGATTGTTGAGCTGTTGGATTAGGAGGGGAGGCAATAAGAGTCAAAAGAGATGGTGGAAGCTAATACCATCATGTGTATGGTGGTCAATCTGGAAAGAAAGAAATGAAAGTTTTGAAGATAGATCCAATTCCATCCACAAAGTTAAATGGAATTGTATAGTATCTCTACTTTTTTTTGGTGTAAACAACTTTTTATAGATGATATAGACCAGATTATAGATTTGATAGGAGATCTGTAATCATTCTTTTTAGGAGGTAGCCAGCATATTCTTAATGCTGTAGAATTCAACCTTACTAGTTTTTTTTTTCAAAAAAAGAACAAGTGAGAGAACGATCAACTACCTACTCGCTTTCTACCATAATCTATGTCCTCCATAGCCTCTTATCTAAGGTCATATATCCTCTGCTAAATGAAGTTGTGCCATGTCTTGTCTAATTACATCTCCACAATGCTTCTTCGACCTACCTCTGCCACTCTCGAATCATTGTACTTCATCTCCATTCTTCGGTCATTTTGGCTGTGTTAAGAATGACATTAAACTAACTTAGTTAGCCACTCCAAACTTGCCTTGCCCGAACTCTTCCAAAGTTCCACAGAGATCTCATCTGGCCCGATTGCTCTGTCCCTTGTGCATCCTACAAATAATACTCTTAATCTCCAAGTTTATGCACCTACACTACCCCAAATTGTGACTCACGTGCACCAAATCTCCCAGCACAATGCCTCTGTTCCTTTCTTTCTGAGTACTAGATTAAGATGAAAGGATGAAATAAAATAGAGTGCTTATTAATTGACAAGATGAAATTATATAAACTTTCCATCTATTTTCCTTGAATAGTGCTTGGTGATTGTTACAGCCCATGAAAAATTCAACTATTCAAGAAAATCTGCAAAGGATGAAACCTACGGGTCATTGTAGTGGGTAGCGGAGGCAAAAACACTAGGTGATTTTTTTCATTTGTTCAAGTTTTGGTGAATAGAGTTATTTGTACTTGTGCTAGCAGGTACCCCATGAAAATAGTTGAGGTGCGTGCAAGTTGATCCATACATCACGCTTATCATAAAAAAGTACTTCGAAATGATGAACACCACTTCACTATGTACGACGTTTTTGTTTTTTTCCAACTATGCCTCAATTTCAAGCTAGTTGAGGTAAGTATGTAAATCCTTTATTATGTGTTTTGATTTATCCATACCCCCACCTATGAATCTCACAACTTTGGATGTTTATGAGCAAAACACATTTAAATAAAATTGGATCTTGACCATTAATCTCAATTTGGAACAAACGAGATTTTGATGTCCTATCGTGAAGAAACTAATGAAAGTGTGGGGTGAGTTTCATGTACGTATCTACTTTAAAGTTGAATGAGATAAGAGTGTGATTTGGAAATGCAGTCAGGTGCATGTCTTCAAGTAACTCGCTCCAATTTAGAAGACATCAACTATAGTTACAAGTGTACAGTGAAGAGACTTAGAAGTTGGAGGTTTCCAGGGGAGATAAATCTTATAAGGTGAATAGTCTCTGTAAGAATGGCTTCTAATCTTCAAGAATCAAGAAAGGAACCTTTGTTACAACTTACAAACATGGATTAAAAATTAGCTTCTTACAAAATTTACATTTGAATTCTTGTTCTCTCAGCACCTTAGACATTTGGGATCTCTGTAGTTTCAACAGACAACCTATTTTGGGATCTGTGACTATTACTGGAAACTAGGAGTAATGACGCCCTTGAAATAACGTGGAAAGTGAGAAATGGAACATTTATAACGAGAGGGGTTTTTCCCTTATATATTTGCATACTAGAGTACTTTCCATTTGTCCTATGTGGACTACTGGCATAGGCCAAAAGTCTTTTCCTCCCTGAATTGGGTTATCTAATCTAGTCTAGAATAATTACTTGCATACAGACCCTATCATCTGCACATCTTTGTGCCAACTGGACCCTAGTCTTCAGGGAGAAAGAAGCCTTTGTTGTACGATTGCTAGCCTGGTTGTAGAAATAATCTCTTATCCCGCAGCTTTCTCTGCATCGCTGTACGTCAGCTCTGTAGACATTTCAGATCTCCTTGATTTAATCTTACCCCTGTGATAGTATGTATTACTTGCACCCTGATAGTAAATCCTATATCAATTTATTTGGGTTGAGACATCCTCCAATCCCCTCTGTGATATAGGGATCTGCAACTTAAAGGCATTCTTTGATGGACTAACTAACTATCCTTTGATGGATTTTTTCTAAAATATTCTCATCCGCACCTTCTCCCCAGCATTGCAGATGTCTATTGTCATTTCATTCTTCTATAAATGCAAATTAAAAGCGACATTAGATCCTGGTCTCAGAGCGCAATGGATATGTAGGATTCTTATAGCAGAAGTCAACTGATTTGAAATTGGGCTTTGTTGATCAACTAGATTATGATTTAGCTTATGCTGAGAAAATCAGATTCTGAACTCAGGCTTATCATGGCAAGATGATGGTATTCCTTTCCTGCTTGCCCACCAAATTATCTCACCTTGCAGGCAGATTCTATTAGGTTATATTCTCTCATGTGGTGCTGTAGAATTAAACTGTAAAGGTGAGCATTACTGGTTTTCATCACCACCTTATTCTCAATTAACTTCCCTCATTTTCAGCCATCATGATTGAATGATGGCACCAGATATTTTGTTCTCAAAACTAGTGTACTATGAACTGGGGAAAAAACTAGATTGAGTACCCTTACCAGGTCTTGTCCTTGCGATTCTTAGAACCAGTATCAGTTCCAGTGTGCATCTGTTTGATTGGGGGGGGAGGGGGGGGGGGTATTTCTTATGTATAGTTTGTTGAAACAACAGAGGTTCCATCAACCAGCATCTGTAATTGTCTCTGGAGATGATGACCTGAATCAAATATCTGATAAGTTAAGTGATACATTAAGCAGATGGATTAGTATTCTATCAGGCAGAAGAGTTCACATGTATAGCACCGTACTACTGATTGACAGTAAGGGATTGGAAAACTTCATAAAATGTGTTTTCTAATTTGTAATGACTGTGTGAGATATGTTTCAGTCGGAGTAGGTTAACAGACAATGATAAGTATAGATGACTGCTCTAAGCGACCAACTTGGAAGAATCAGGCTATCGCCTCGACCAAGTTTAAGAACCTGAGAATGAGTAGTAATGGGGACAGGGAAAAACGGGACAACAAGATAGGCGGTGAGTTGGGGATATAGAGACACCAGGAAACAACTAACAATAAATAAGCATGAATAAAAACAGCAAAGGATAATAACCTGAAGATAGCAGAACCATGGGATGAGGAGATACGTGAGAGCCAGTATGAGAACAAGAGTAGGGAAGTAGAAGAGAAAAGAGTCAACCAACACATGAAGCTCCCATTACAGGGTAGCACTGCACATCACCATTAGCATGAAAGTCTTATGAAGGGTAGCTTTTTACTAAAATTCCCAAGCAATTAGAGAGGAAAAATGCAGCAGAAAGGGCATCAATAACATCCGTCACGTTAACAACAAAGTGTTGGAAATTTCCCCTCCTCACCAAGTCAGGAAAATCACAAAGGCGCACAAGCCAATGTTCTCTTTATCCTTTCTCAATTATCTTCCTTATTTTACATTTAGTGTATCTTTACAAAAGCTATATATTATTAATGTTTCTAACAACTCTAATGTGGTGTTTGTTTCTTCTAGGAATTAATCGCTCTCATATCCATGTCAAGGAGATATATACCAACTGGAAGTTTCGAGGAATTGACAAATTTGGCATATACAAACTAAAACCTGGTATAGGGCATTGTCCAATCTCAGGTGTTCCTTTGATATTCCCAGTCCACTCTTGCGACCAAAGAAAGAACACAATGAAGTAGGTTAAGGTCAGCTAAAGGATTTGATGGGGCTAAGGATGGTTCCAAAAAGAGCAGCTACTTTAGATGAACGCTACTGTGGTTGCACTATTTATTTGCATGCATGAAATTGACATACGTGTATCCTGTTCGCTCGAGCCATGATAAAGATGGGTGAATTCGATATCAAAGGGATGAAAAGAAGCTGATAGCATAATACATGAGTAGGTTGGCCAAGAATAACCTTGATGATCAAGAGAACTTTACTGACCATCCCTAAATCCCAACGAAAGCCTTCTACCGGGGCTTTGCTGGGAAAACCTGCTTAAAAAAATGGACATGTGTGAAGACCAAGAGCGGTTATTCACTTTTCTTCTTCCTTAGTCTAAGCAATCAATTTGTGAGATAAATTAATTCTCCATTTGTAGTTAGATTTTTGCGTTTGTATAACCTTTTTTTTCGAGTTCTACCTTGAAAGGAAACCTACAATGAGATTGTACCCGAATAGAGATGGTGGTCTTACTCTGGCCCATAATAGAATAGCTAGGTGAAGCAGTCAATCGATCTTATATATAAGAAGAACAAAAGATCTTTCTTGATCAATTCCTTTGCCAAGATAACCTTTGAGGTACCTCAAGATTCTGTATAGCAGGTTGCTTACGAACTCAAACTGCTTGAAACATAATTGCTACTTATTGACATAGTGGTAGTTTTCGTCCCTATCAAATAAAGATGAGTAGAGAGTTACCAAGATACGAAGCTCTCTTCTCCTTTCTTTTTGATACTTGGTTGGCAATGTCACTGGCAGAACACATTTGATTCTAAAGTCCTTTATATTCTTAGAAGCAATATAATGGCTGCCTTTGAGGAAAAGATAACTTGCTCTTGGAAGTCAATATATAATGAAAAATATGCGTGCTGTGTGAGTAAGCTCTCATTCTTTTCACTTCGTCTCAATTTGAAGCCTTCAGAGCTTAGGTTGTCAAGTGTGCTTGTTTATATTAAAATTTTAACACTTCGTTTTAATCATTAAGATGTTTAATAAAGTATAAATATCACTATGAGACATTTTTGTAAGGATAATTTGCACCATTGCTCTATCCTCAGTCACCAGTAATTACCTTTCTCATTATCATTCAATGTCGTTGTCAATCACTAACCGTTTCTGCCAAGTACTGTTGCAACCACACTTACCACCCACATCATTATAATTACATCCACGGTCTTGTCACCGTTATAATTGTTGCCACCACTACTGCTATCATTGCGACCAATTTTTATTACCAACCACCTCTACTATCGTAACTTGTACCAGGTACGTTGTTGTTAGCTAATTACCAATATATTGTCAACCATTGCCCCTTCTTTTGAAATCACTATTAACACTACCAACTACTAACAATTACAATATCACCACGAACTGTCACTATCATGTCAACAGTTTGAGAATAACTCCTAAGTTAATCAAGGATAAATGTTGGGAACTTTTTGGTAAGAAATTGATAAGAGTAATTTATTGACCTAAATAGAATAAAAAGAAATTGAAAGAAAAAATTATGATGATATAAAGATCATAATGAGAACTATAATATCAATCATCGTCAACCATTACTAGTCACTAATATCTACAACCACAACAAGCCATCTACATCATTACTAGGAACATAAATGTAACAATTTTTTTAAATTAAATTTATAGCATATTACCGTTGATTACTTGTTCTGTTGAATTGCACATTTATTATGCTTATCAATAAATGATTTATGCATAGTGTTGAAAAATAAACAATTGTGATTTTATTCTATCGACTTCTTAATTATTCAGAAGACATGCATTTCAATTCGAACATTTTAATCTTTTAATAAAAACAAGTATAAGTCTTTTGACATGAATATTAGAGCCAATCAGCAACTATATAATCAATACACTTATCAAGTAAAAGTACTATTAAGTTACATGAGAGCATGCAGTCCCCAATTATTTTCAAGATTAAATGAAAATATGATCAGTCGACTTTAGTCATAGGTTTTAGTTAAAAAAATTGCAATATTTTTTTTGGAAGTTATTTCAAATGAGCATCTGTTTATCAAATTAGCTCAATATTTCACCATTAATTAATTATATAATTTGAAAAACAGATGTTAGGAGTTTTCATGTTTTCACTCCTGACAGAATTACAAATTGTTTTCATGTTCAAATATAACATCAACTTTCAAATAACCCTTTTTTAAGCTTAATTTCAAAACTATGTTTCATTCAAATATCAATTAATTCATATCCAAACACCTACTTTGAGATAAATATCTACTCAAACATTAATGAATTATAACTCCGTACACTGTATTAGTTGAGATGTACATAAACTGATCAGATATCATCGATTATAAGAGAATTTACATCCCACATTGGATATACAAGTTCATCTAATTAAAAGGGTTTTAAAATAGCATAAATAAAAATATCATATTATCCATATATACTAGGACATCAAAAAGGTATTAACATACATTTTGTGGAAACAAAAAATCAGGTTACCTTGACCTCTGACATGGGATTCATGTTATTATTCTCCTCCTTTATCTTGTTGTATCTATCAATTGTAGACTTCATGCTGATAACAATAGAAAAAATATCAAAAGATAAATTTCTATACATAATTAATTTGAAAAAATAAGAGCGTTTGACTAGCTAAAATGAACATATCATCAGTTATATTTCATATGTTAAAAACAAAATTCTATTTGGATAAATTGAAGCAAATATACACATAAACAAAGTCATGCACAATAATTTAAGACATTTGATCGCGCTTGTATCTAATTAAAGAAGCTATGTTTGTGTATAAGGGAGTAACATGTTTGTATATCACTACGACAAAATCACTATTTTTCTGTTGAAACAATGTTTATCTCATAAATATTTTGATAGAATCAGTATAAAAGGAAAAAAGAATAGTGTTTTCACACAGAAAAATTAGGAAGGTTTCCAGTATCTAAACAGGAATCTGTCTCCCAAATGTGTTTTTGCGGTGAGCTAGTTCAGTTGAAAATAAGTGAAAAATGTTTTATAACACAAATTTCATATTGATTTGCGCGGAGAAAACCCTTTATTTCTAGTAGTATATATTCAATGAAGTATGTATCTTTACAAAGGTGAATATAGGATTTCTAGATCATAAATGCACCACTAGAAAAACGGGAGAAACTGTATCAAGTGGAAATTGATTCTTAGTCCTAGATAAATTACATAACATCTAACTATGTACACTACTTAGTCTTTTTATAGTACGGGTGTCCGTTAATAATATTAGATCAGTTTAAAAATATATGTACATAAGTAACTAATGTTAAAGAGACCGCAAATTCACGTGCCTCACTTTAACCAGTGGCGGAGCCACATTATCATTAGGGGGTTCATTACAATCCTTTTTGGCGGAAAATTATATAACTTTTACACGGTTAAAATTATCTTTTAGATATATATAATAGATGTTGAACCCCTTTCGACTATTTTATGTGTCTATTTCTTCAATTTTTGAACTCCTTGCTAATAATTATGATCATGGTTATATTTATACTGATATACTAGGTAGAATTTTCAGTACTATCAATTAGATTAATGCTACATGCATGCATGTGTTGTTCCTCCCGTCAAATTTTCAGTACCAGTTTCAAGCAAATCACTGAAGTCTTAACAATAAATTCAAGCCGATATAAATGAGTCTTTTTCTATAGTTTGACGATATATTTAATTTTTTCTTATACGAAATAATATAGCTTTAGATGGATACTGAGAATGATCGTAACATGCACTTCTAAATATGCACGTGGAATCCTTGAGGCAGGACCACGATACAAAGTACAAATCAAAATTACTTTTGGTAAAATTTTTAAAAATATTAGAAGTAATTAAATGGAAAGGTACCAAGTTGCCAATACTTTAACCCAAAAAAAGAAAAAGAGAAGGGAATACCAATATAAAATAATTAAAAGAGGAAGCTAAGGCAGTGATTATAATTATATCATAATTAAAATAGAAATCAATAAATAACCTGTTATTGGCAAATTCATAGAGTTTTCCAGTGCTTGAGAAAATAATGAGTCCAACTTGAGCATCACAAAGAATTGCAAGCTCTTTAGCCTTTTTGAGAAGTCCATTTCTTCTCTTTGAGAAAGTAACTTGTCTACTTGTTGTATTATCAATCCTTTGTATCACTATTTTTCCTCTCCCCATCTCCTTAATTAAACGAGACTACAACAACAACGATAACAAATCCAATATGATTCTCATTAATGGAAATAATCACCAATATATAGTTTCAGAATGTTAACCTAAATCGTGAAATTTATAAGATTATATATATAGCAAGAAATAGGAGTATATCAAGCCAAATACAAGATTCAAATATATCCATAGTTGATTTTACTAATCCGATAAAACAAAAAAATGGACAAAAGAAAAAGAGAATATATTAAAGCAAAGAATACCTTATTAATTTTGAGGGAAATTAGATAGAGGAGATAAAAATTGGAGTTTCCCATTTTTTTTTTATTTGGTTGAGTAATTATGTTTAGGGTTTTTGACTTTGCTTTTCTCCTTCTCTAGATCAAATCAAAAGGGATAACTAAGAGCTAAAATTAAAATTAATCAAGAACATGAAAGTGATTCTTGAATATGAACAAATTAGTGTAGTATTAATCATCAATAACTAACTTTAGCTAATTAAAATTAGAAAGTTTTATGAACAATCAATAACCACAAAAATGGAAAAAATACATATGAATTTGAGAAAAAAGACAAAAATTAAAAGAAAAACTTACTAATTTGAGAGATTTTGATAGTAGACTGATTCTACAGATAGAGAGAGAGAGAGAGAGGAGAAATATTGGTTTAGTGAAAAAATAATCTGTTAATTAAAGCTTTAAATGGAAAGCTTAAGCTTAATAGTGGTATTTAGAGATAAACCAGCAGCTTGTTTTGTTCACTAAACCACTTACCAGATATTTTACTTCCCCTACTCGCGCGAGTACACCATAATAGCCTCACTCGCTGACACCTGTCTAGAAATATCATTATAACTGCGTTAACGGACTAATAGTACGGGTTTATGATTCACTGTATTCACGGATTTGCCACTAAGGGACACGTGTTAGGACGACAGGGCGAGTATGGTAAGTTCCGTATTTGAGAAAGTGGGTTTTGAGAATATCCTCGGACTTTCAGAAATGTTTTTTTATTGAAGAAAATGTTTGAAATGAATTTAGAATTGTAATGTTGTTCAACAAATAGCTGACTGACACGTTTCGATCTGTCAATGGTTTTTCACCAATTTTATGGGGGACTTTATTTTATTTTTCCGTCATTTTTTAATTAAAGATTGTCTAAAATAAATCATAATAATCGTGGATAAAAATATGTTTTTTTTTAAAAAAAAAATTGACGGAAAAAGAACGTGAATTATGTAACTTGGAATAGAGGATAGAATATATATGTACTTTTTATGTATCATTTTTGATAAATTAAGAAAGGATAATTTATTTTTGTTTGTTTTATAAATATAGTATTCTTAATTTATTAATATTGAGTTAATATCTTGTAAAAA